TCTTAACGAGATTTCCTTAACGGCGGGTCCGTAGAGGAACTCGTTGGTACCCATGGACACAGCATTGTGATTGACCGAGAAACACCTCGCCGAATACAACCAACCGTTCCAGGGGCCAGGGGTTTTGACTATCGGGGAGAAATTCCACGAGAAAGACACAGGCAGATCAGATTCGGCTTCGAGCCTGGCCTCGGCAAGGATTGGCTTGCCCCACGTGCAAAATAGACCACCTTCAGGAATGTGGGCTATAGGTAGCAGCTCTGAACGACGGAAAGTTGTAAAACTTCCTACAGTATGCAAACTACTGTCTTGAACGCGATACACAAATGTTGATCCCGCAGTGCGCGAAAGGTTGCATGGGCCAAACCTTCCTCGACCGACGGTCCTCTCCGCGAGCTCTTCCATTTCCTTCCCCGGGTCTGCGCCAGAAGTGGTGATCAGGAGGATCGGGATGGTTGCTGCGTCGATGCAACCCACACGGCGTGCAGGGTTCAAAGCGTGGCGTGGGGACGTAGGGGGGGCACATCGTCAGATGGCCAACATGGGCCGGTCAAAAGCGAGCAAGCATTGTGTGTTGTGTGTACATGTGTTCGACAAGATACAGACAGCCGGAGCATGTTCTGGCGTCACCAGTGGCATGCAGCAAACCGTTCGAAGCTTGTCCTCCCGGGAACCAAACCAGGGTGAAACCCTCCACATACTATGCCCACGATGCGTTTAGACAGTGGTCACATAACCCACGAAGATTTCCACTGCTACATAAGCCCGAATCACAGAAGGTAATAGACGAGATCATCACCCTCTACCCCTGAAAGCCACTTCTGTTTACCTGTTCATTACTGACCGAAACAAAAGAGGCACAGAAGGTTCCACTTCAAAGTTGAACAGCCTGTCCAAACTACTGTCCCATGTAACCCACCAGATGCCTCCTGCTGGTAGAGCTGTTCTAGGGACAGCGCGGGCGGCGACAATGACGTCACTCGGAGCACCTCGTAGGCGAACTGATGCAGGGCTGACTGCAACCTATCCGGTCGAAGAGCCTGCACCAGAAGAACCCGTTGGAACAGGGACACCGACCGGATGCTGGGGAAGTCGCGCTCGCACTCCGGCGATGTCGCCCACCGACGCCACCTTTTTGTCGACGGAAACGGAGGCCCCGAGAAGAGAGTGGGCGTGACATACTGCTTGTTTCGGTATCGCTCTTTGCGACACGCTCGCGGCCAGTGCGACGTGCTCTAAACTTCGCGACTGTGGCGGAGCACCCACCGCACCGCGGCTGGGTCAGTAGGTTGGACTTTGTCGAGAAGGGTTAGGTTAGGGATGGAGTTGACAGGGCTGGCGCTATGGGGTCAAAGTTGAGGTCAGTTCGGATTTCACGAAACGCGTTGACTCCCGGTGCAAAAACCAGACCAACTGGACCCCTTCCATTGCGGTAGCCCAACGTATACCAGAACGAGTCTATCAAACGTCCTACACGTAGGTACATTCGCAGGGAAACTTGAAACCCTCAAACTCCAGACTGACCGCTCGGCGTCCCCCAAATCAGCCGCCTGTACCAGATGCGGCAGGTACTCCGCTAGCAACGCAAACGCCTCCTCTCGATCTGGCGACGCCCAGGGGGGAAACCCTCTAGGACGGCCTGCCTCGGAGACACCCGCCACCGACCCCAGCTGCCCTGTGAAGACCTCCCACTCGTTCTGTAGTCCGAGAATAAGCGCATTGTGGTAGTTTGGGGTATGCTGTACATTGGCTTCTGAGGGCGAAAGTTAACAGATATGTCTAGGTGGTCGTACTCGTCTTGAAGGTCCAGCCTTTCCACAAGCACAATCCGCTATATTTTCGGTGCTCGAAACGCGACGTTACAAGGGTGGGGGAATATCACGATAGTTGTCAATGATGAAGATAGCCTCCGTCGAAAGAACCTTCGCCTTGCGATTCAGTTCATATGTAATCACTAAACAGGGGAAAGCTACAACGGTCAAGTCCTTGGGCATTCTCTATGGGAGCTGCTTACCGGCTCAAACAGGTGCGGATTCATGCCGTGAACCAGGTGCAGCGCGAACGTTGGTCGATCTTCCTTCAGTAGAGCTCTCCCAACGAAGTACAAAACCCTAACCTGCAAGAACGAACGATGGAAAAAGTAACTTTTTGTTGTTGTTGTGGTTGCTGTTGCTGTTGTTTGTATCACATTAATTATCGCTCCGGTCTCTGCCTAGTACTTTTCATTACCCGTCCAACTGACGCAGGCGCCTTCATTAGTGCGTAGCCAAAATCTGGAGCAAAGTCGTGTGGGACAGTGCCTGGATCCGCAAGAGTAGGTCGAAAATGGCGCAAACGGTAGACACGACCGTGAACGCGCCATGCCGCCGCGAGATCACTATGGAGTGCATGATGAGGTGCACCGATTGCCTTCTCTCGCGTGATGGGCCAATCAACCCACTTCTATCGAACCTGCAGAGCCGGTGTTAGCCTGGCCAGCCTGTCCCCGACCTCCGACGCCGATGCTGCTTCCGATGAGGAACTCCCTCGCCTTGAACGAGGAGCTGGCAGACCCGGTTGGTGCTTTTCCTCCGACAGACACGCTTGGAAGAGTCTCACAAAGCTGGCGAGGGATGATTTGTACATCGGGCTCATCGCCTGCCAGAGGGAACGGTTTGGTGCCGAAGTCACCCCCCTCAGCATTCCATCAGAATTTCATTTCTTGCAGCTTGTGAGGATCAACGGAGCTGTGTAGTATGCTACGCAAACACTGAGGCCCCCCTTTGATAATCCATCACTCGCAAAGCTGTGTGGAGCTCCACATACGGACCCCTGACACAAATGTAGCCGCGTTTACCCCGCGATCTGGCAGAAGGAGCCAACGAATGATGCCAAGCCAACAGAGAGAGACAACGTTCGGGGAAGAAACTTGACCAGTGTTTATTTATCTCATGGACCTACAGGAAAGACAAGACATTGTCCGTATAATGCACCTGCATGGCTTCCACCAGGAAAAAGAGGGTGGATCCTGCCCTGGCGAAGTCCCGGTACACGTCTCGCTGTCTATCGAGCTCCTGCGATGCCTCCGCCGATTTTTCGAGCGAAACCTAGCATGAAAAAGTTGGGAAAGCGATGCCCAAAGCGAGTTGGTTTCCATGAAGCAATGGCAACAAGTGAAATCGGTGTGCCAATGACACAACGAGCAGGTGTCCAGCGACAGGCATTCGTAATGATATTCGGATTCGCAGAAAAACGGTCAACGAAGTGCGGCATTGCGTTGGGTTCTGCTGTCGAATGTTTGCGACAGCTGCTTGGTCAAGATAGCATAGTAGTTGTACTGGTGCTGAACTGTCGTCGTATGGCGGAAATATTCCATTTCTAGTCGACAGGCCAGATATCCCCCTTGCGGGACAACAGTCGTGCGTTCACAGGCGAGAAAGGAAGATCTGGTAGCATGACATGTGCTGCCACACGTGCGGACGACGTAGCAATGTACGCGTACCAGTTGTGTGAGCTTGAAACCACTAAACCAACATGTTTGCCATATTTTTTTGCGTGAAATCTGCTAGGGCAGCAGAAATTCCCGCGTTTATATCCATGGAGTCCATTTCCTGACCTGAATCTCTGCGGCAGCCGTTTTAGTTTCGCTCAGCCTCTCGATCAAGCTCGTGTCTTCGAGGAGGTCTCCCTCGGCTGTGGCCAAGGTTTCCAGCAAACCCTTCTCAAGATCCGCGAGGCGTACCTGCGTTTCCGAAAGCGTTGTGTGGTGGATGAACGGAGCAAGCCTATGTGATTACCATAGCGAGGAGCCCCATGGTACGGGCGAGACTTCCCATCAAGTACCACGACTCAGCCGGCAATACACCCATACCCCGAACCAAATTCTGCCCAGGTCCGATCGAACACTATTGTGTCGACCACTGCATCATGTGCCGTCGACCGCAACTAACCGCCTATTTTTCTCCGATGAGAACAAGAAACCTGCATGCGCCGTAACAACACTACGTTCATGCTATGGTGGTATATAGTTACCCAACACGCACCTTAAAACCCTCCTCTTGGCGCAGCATCTCAGATTTAGCTTTCTCGAGCTCTGGTTGCTCGTGTTGGATCGTTACGCCAAGCAGTTGGCTATCCAGACCGGACCTGAAGGGGTCGGTTCGCAGAACGGATCATAGTTCACAAACACACAGAGGCCTACAGAATACCTCGGGTGCTCATCGAGCCGTCCCCGCGTCACCAGAAACAGTAATGCGAACTGTCTCTTGGAGCTTGATCAGCACAACGGCAAGGTTCCCCCGCCACCAGCTAAGCGTGTGGTTGCGAAAAGGACGGGCGGCTATATCGAGACTTCGACCGACTTTCACCCTACATATCTACGACGCAGTGTTCTGTGACATAACGATCAACTGCCTGCTCCCCAAGATGCCTGGGGTTGGTTATAGAAAACGTTGAGATCAGGCGCGAATGGTGTTCCGGGCAAACCTTGTGACCGTGAAGTTGACCTCGCACACCAGCGCGCTTGCGTCCGGCGGAAGCTCTGGTTTAGGATTTCTCGTCACCATGAAGAGTCGGAAGTTCTCGTTGTAGTCCATGAGCTGGAGATGGTTGACGTCCCCAGCGGGTAGGACAAAGGGGGGGCTGTCATGCGTCGGGAATCGAAAACTGAAGATGGCTTTAGTCATCGAACGACAAGATGTAGGAATCTAAACAATTTGTGCTGCGATGGAAAATATGAATTTCGGTCGGCTCTTACAACCTATCTGCTACACACAAACTACAACACCGTCCACTTCCTTCGGTAGTCTAACCCATTGTGGGTAGCCTTCGCGATGAGTCCTCCTTTGAGAATGCTTTTCCTCGTTGTTCACAGTACTGTTGGAACGCTTCTCATGTGTTGCTCACGACACATTGGCTCGTGTCATTCGTCGCATTCATGTCTATGACGGGGACCGTCCTGATCAGCCCAGCGAAAAGTACGATACTCCTCAACGTCCAGAAGCCGCCGCCTAACCGCCAATTCAGTCGCTTGTCACCGGCTTCCTCACCTTATCCCCGACCTGCACGACATAGCGAGGCCCTTGGTGCACGAGATCCTGTCGTATCAACGGGTACAGCATGGGCTCCACCCCGTCACACTCCAGCACAAGCAATGTCTTCCCGAACCTCACCGACAGCTCCACCCTCGAGGTAAAACGTGCGTCGGCCGCGGAGACTACTTCCAGAGGCCGGCTCGCGTCCTGCGCAAGTAGCAACGGCAAGCGTATTCAGCAACAACGATCAAATCCGTTTGTTGTACTTGATGCCTTGTGTTGTGTGCAGCTCCTCTTCTACTATTAACCAGCACAGTACAAAACCTCCCACGGTCACATTGGAGTTGCGGCAATTGTGTAGTTCGTACCCTAGCCTCGCCCACAGAACACGGCTGTGCCTTATATCTTGCCATTCGCTCGTATCTGGAATGAGCACTACGGTGGCCATGCATTACAGTTCTGCCATGTCGACACACCTTTGCTAGAAAAGACTGCAACCAGGCGGTGCAGGCGTTCGCAGGGTCGATGATGAAGGGCACCCGCCCAAGGCTGTTCGCCAGTACCAGAGCGTTCTCCTGCGCAGCATTTGGCGGGGGTCAAAAAGAAAGTCAACTTGGTTGAGGACGTTTGGCGGTCGTGAAGAAGCCGACAGCTCCCTCCCTAGGGCCTTGGGTGTGTCACTCAGAGTGTTGTGCGGGTATTTTTGGGGAAGGCATTGGACGAGGGCGGCGACCGTGCGTTTCACATGGAAGGTTGTCGTTGAGTATTTCTTTGCGCTTCTGCTTGCAGTTTGAATATGTTGTAACCACGTGTTTTCTTGGCGTCAACCCACACCTAGCGGTATGCCTGTACGTACAAGCGGGGTCACCCAAGAAGAAGGCCGAACGAAGTTCGTTTAGGTTACCGGTGCTTTCTCATCATTTTTCAGGCCTTCTCACCTGGCTCAGGTCATCTGCAGGGAGCCCCTCGCCTTTCCAAACCAACAGCTGTGATTCTGTGGACATCAGACCGCGGAAGGAAAACCCAGGCGGTAGACCCAGTGCCTCAGACCAAAGCTCCAACATGCCTCTCCGGGTGTTCTCCGGGTATCTGCAATTATCACGGAAACAACAGGCGTAGAATACACGGCTTTTGCTCCCTCTGCGCCAGGGTTACAGTTACGAGCAATAACGTTCGTCGTGGAAATGTATGTCGCCGCTGTTGAACGTTTGAGCTTCCCACGACCAGAAGACGAAATCCGGAATATCGAAATAGGGACTTGGGTACTATGAAAGTCGGCGAGATGCCACACACTCCCTCTGCACGGCAATACAAGATCGGTTGAGAAATCCGGGAATATAAGGTCGCTTCGTAGTTTAGGTGGTTAGGTGTTCCTTTTGAGGGATTTTTTTTTCGTATGATGCCGGACAGGATAAGCGTTCCGTTAGAAAAAAATAAAGTCGGGGATATTCTTGTGCAAATCTCTCTCCTGAGAAAATTAACTCCAGCAATGGTCGCAAGCGAATTTGTCATTGAGGATTTTTTTGTGCTTTTTCTCCCGTGCGGCCATAAAAATAATTTTTTTCCCGATGTGTTTTCGCTTTGTAATCTTGGCGACTTAAGCTATCAGTAAACCACCATTTTCAATCGTTGATCCTATGTCTTTGTTTTTGACCGGGAGCAAACCGTTAGGGTGGCGAAAATGAGACACTTGGAAGAACAGAAACGACGGGAAGGAACATTTTTTCGGGGAAAAAAGTGCTTCTGTGGAAAAAAACAAGATGTTCTTGTGCGTTCAATACTTGACTTGCATACAAGTCAAGGAGTTTACAATCATTTGTCCGACTCGACCTTACATTGCCTTGTAGAGGGAGTATGAACTACCCGTAGTTGGAACAGCCTGCCCTCTTCTGTTATACCAGCAGCTGCATACACATAATTTCATGAAGTGCGCATCAATCACGATAAACATACGGTCGACGGCCCCAATGCATCTCTCAAAACAACTTAGGTGTACTCTCGAATTGAACCTGACCTATCAAGACTACCCCCCACGTCCTATTGACATGAGGCAACCAGCTGTTCATTATTTGCTCGGATGACGATCTGCACCATAGGACTTCGCTATCTTCGTGAATGTTTGGATCTGCAGCTGTCATGGCACGGTGTCAGTCTGCCGTGGCTTGAGGGTCAGAAGAATGCCTTCCCAGCCACCTGCGTTCACATCAAAGACAATCCGCCATCATGCGCTAGATATCACACCACGACGGCGCACTTTCGTCCCTTGCCCATCCCACCTGACAAGGTACGTGGCAAAGCCAGCTGCCAGCAGCGTCTTGAGGGGCAACGTCGCTAGTTCGTCGGAGAGCGACATGGCTTGGTCCTGCCATCGCTGTTGCTCCCCTCCGAGCTGCGACACCAGCCGCTGCGCTTTAGTCAGGATCCCCTGGGCCCGTTCCAACCCAGCACGAAGCGTCTCCGCTTCCCGCGTCCTGGCACCAGTAAGCGCGTTCGCGCGGGCGGGGGTCGTCCACGAATTCGTTGCATAGCCATATTCACTTGACCCTCGACCACCCACGTCTTTTCGACGGAGCCACTACAATTGGCCTGCGCTAAGGGAAAGACGGCTAACGCAATAACCCTACGCAGGCTTGGCGGAGCCCATTTCATGAGTCTGTCTATTTTCGTTCCGCGATGGAGTTCCGGTGCTGTGGAGTGTCTATCAACCTTGTTCCTAATTGTATCCGGTTGTCAGCCCGTTCGAGTCTGATTGCCGTGATCTTTAGGCGGCCTCTTGAACGTATTGCATGCATTGGTTGCGTACGAAAAGTGCAACTTTGCGGAAGCTTGTCCTGAAACCAACGAGAGTCATGATGCAACAATGCCTCTTTGGTATTTGCGTGCTTCATATAGAGGTTGTGATGCTTCAGCAAAACACCGAAAGGATCGATAAGGCCTCCGCACGCCGTACATCATCAAAACCACGCCTCACGGTTAGGGTACGTCGTGCTGGGCCAGGGGGACACACCCCTTTCAGGCCAGAATCGCGAAGGCTAATTTGGTGGAGGCACCCACGCGCTGGGATACCAAGCCATACCTCTGGGCGAACTCTTCTTTCAGCTGTGCCGCCCTGTGGTCGATCGCCGCGAGCTCTTCCTCACACTGCGTCAGCCTTTTTCGTCAAGAGAAGAACAGCAACGAAACAATAAGGCAATGGACAAACGCGGTGAGATCGTCGGGTGTGGTGCGGCAGGCACAACACGGGACAAACCGCCGCAGCGGCAACAACAGCCACAAAATTCCTCATTGAGCCGAACCTGGGGTGAGACGGGGATCTGTCATATCCGCAGTACTACCTCTCTTGCATTGTGGCCCACGACAGCAGTAGACTATGTCGGGAGTCGTATTAAAAATGGTGTAGGTACATTGGCGATCGTGGGTGCTTGCGGTTCGCCTTCGTTGCAGGTACCGGAGAAGTACCCAAACCCCGGCTGCTACCCAAGCCCCGGCTGCTACCCTGTTAAGACCGAGCTTTTTGTAAGCCTTCAGCTTCTTCGGTGCCCAGGCCGACCTGCAGATGAGCCAAACCTGACCAGGTGATTCAAACCCCTACGGTAGCACCCTCACGTCTGTCTGAGTATTTGAATCCACACGGACGGCATCATTTCACAGTACAAAATTGTACCCGCATGGGGTGCCCCTGAGAATCGAGTGAGCACTTGGCAGTGTGACCAAGTTCGTGAAAGCAAGGAACAAGCAACATACACCTCGGTAGTCAGTGAAATATTGAGCTATCTCATACCTTTCTAGGTCTGTCCGCACTCCCTTTGTTTCATAATTTTCAATCGACCTCTGGCAACATGGAACCTACTATAGCACGCCTACGCCATCCTTTGAGTCCGCCTAGAGTCTTGCGACAACTCCTTTCTCTATGTCGACCGAAAGCCTTCCGTCAAAAGAAGCACAACAGGATTTTGTCGCATCACCTGGCCTGGGATTTGTCCAATGCAGCTACTGCCTCACGAAGCTCCTCTTCCAACGGCTGGATCTTTTCCAAGATGGTAGAATACCTGGCCCCAGATTCGCACGGCCGCGTGGAGGTAGAGGAGGGTTTGGAGAACTGGTTAGGGTGACCTCTTATCGAGCAGATGCCATCCAACGTCTTGGCAAGTCCACCGAGGCAAGAGTCCTGTGGCTGATTCCAAGAGCATTCTATCGAGTCGGTTGGATGTTTCGCGTGGACCTCCGGTTTGGTGGACCTGAATTTAATCACATTCAAGACACCATGCCAAATTGTGCTGCCCAAACACGAATGCCGCGTACCTCTGTCTCTGAAAAGTTCAGCATTGTTTTTCAAATTTATCGTACTGTTTTCTCACTTGATGTTGGCCTTGACCCACGTTGCGAGGGGAGCAGCGGCAACGCTGACGCGGTAGATGTTCGCGTGCTCAAAGCTGGCTGACTTCTGAGTCAAGAGCTTGGTAACCTATAAAAAAAAAATCAAATCGGTCGAAATATCGCCACCCATCAGCCTCCTCTGTTGCCATTTGGACGCAGAATAGACGTCAAGCGGAGGAAAGTCTGTTCCGCGTACCATTTTCGATTTTCTCGCGCTTGTTTGGGCAACGTGGAGATTGTCTTGAGAGTGCGTGCTCAACGTTGAACTATTGCTTGCCGTCTTGAGCGTGGATATGATGCCTGAACAACGGAAATATTGCTACGGGCCTTCCCCTTTCCTGCCGCTGCTCTGCCCTGGAGACTACCCTATGTTGAGAGCGTCAACCATATCGAGATTTTGCTCTCTTTGTTCAACCAGGATGGAAATAGACGAGGAGTCATTTTCTAAGCCTCTCAGCAACCTTACGGGGTGATCTGAAAGTCGAGCCTCTCCTTCACAGACTGAGTCTTGTATTCACTCCAAGTTGACCATACCGTTTTCCTTTGACAACCATGACTCGCTCTCTCCCTCAACCCATAACATGCGTGTCTCGAGTGCCTATCTCTTCACTTGGGGGATTTACGGCATGCGTCCCGCTTTCCTGTCGCCCCTTCCCGCGGTTCATCGAAGTGTTACCTTAGCACGAAGCTGAGGATCGATGCGGCGGGCATCAAAATTAAGAATGTCTTCTTTCACGCCACGATTGCCGAGAAACTTTTTCATGGAAAGCCAGGACGTGTCACGAATGCCGAGCAGCATGAGGACAGCCCCCAATACATCAGCGATTGGCTCCGGTGGCATCTTGAGCGACCTGGCAACCGCATGCAGCAGCATTGTGTGGAATACTCAGCATCTTTGGACTTGCCAAAGAGCAAAATACCGACACTTCGTCATTGACGGGAACACTTTGCTCGTGAGTACACATGGCGAAAAGTGTAAGATAAGAGTTGATGTGCGACTTTGTAGAACCTAATGAAGTCACTGCCTGACTGGGGTCCAGGCGAGGAAAAACGTCACCGCACTGGGAGGGGCTTGATCCTGTGTCTTGGGCAGAAACAGGTGCGAGAAACCGGAGAAAAGGCGATGGCCAACCTCATTGGCCTGTAAAGACGAAGGCCTTTCTCGTGGGATGGAAACCTCAGACGCGAAAAACATTTTTCATGCACACTTGAGGAAATAGTTGGCCTAGCCACGGACTGTAGACCCGACCTGGAGAAAGGGCCATCAGCGCGAAACTACCACCACAAGGGCACCAAGGCCCTAGAGTACATCCTTGAACTCGCCTTATTTCGTTGATGTGGTCGGACTTGATTTGTCCGACCGCTTGCTTGGCGCTGTCCAAGACTGGTTGGATGTGGCTCAGTTCCTGGCGGATATCAGGTCATCGACACGGTAATTCACATGATTCGAAACCCTACACTTCACGCCTGATGCTCACGAAAAGGAAGTTGCGTGTCGAAACGTCTTGCCAACTTGGTACGGACAGAGCCTTGCTTAACGATAATGAAGCAATGCCCAAAAACGAAGTGACGCGCGCGGTGCTGCTACATGTTCGCAACGATTGTCAACAGGAAAGGTGTCCAAGAACTACATTGGCAGTTCATCGTTCACCCAGAATTCAGTGGGATGGAGTAGATCGCTAGATCGTTTTGAGCGTGCAGCTGATCGGCTGAAAAGTCAACGGTCGGCCACAAACGTACATCGACACTGCCTCAGGTGGCCGCGACCAGCAACCCCGCTCACGTCAATCTCCCGGTGAAGGATATTTTAGCCACCTGCTCGCGTCCAACAACCCTATCTCGTTACCCACAATCAAAGTTACCTGTTCAATGTCGCCCTTTCGGCCTTGAGTGGCCTTTTTCTTGACGGCGAGATCGTCCTTGAGCCTCTCCGTTTCTCCTTTACGAAGACTTGCTTCTGAGAGGGCCGTCGCGATCTGTTCCATGGCGCTGTCCGCAGCCACCTGTTGTAGCGATCACGGTTGTTTCGCACTTGGGTACAGGAAATCTTGATGTCGTTTCACGCAGGACGACAGGAATACACCGTTTTTGTCTGTTTGGTAGCGTGATAGGGTAAGGGGGTCATTTCTTTCATGTTCGCGAGCATACGTCATCCGGGAGGATGTAGAATTGCTGTTGGAGCAGGTGTGTCGCATCAAATGGCAGACGTTCTGACAGTTTCATCTTGTGTCGAAGATGTACTCGAACCCAACTGGATGGAAGCATGTAGTGCCGCCCTTGCACCTGAGCTGTTTGGAGTTCCTTTTTGTTTTTCTCGGCGTTTTTGCTGAGGTCATCCACGGTCGACGATGCCTCCTCTAGCTTGCTCAGGCCCGCTGTTAGGTGTCCCAGCTCCTCTCGCAAAGATCCCTGCCAACATGGTGGGTTAGCATATTTCGCTGTAGTCCGGGAAGAGGATGTTGTCAACGGGAAGGCGATTGTATCTGTAGCCCGTCGGTGCCAGCTGATACCGTTTGTAACGCCGAGGCAACCGGTTATAGCATACCAGTCGAGTAGAGTTCGGCAAGCGTTTCCAGCAAAGAAAGGTTGCAACCGCTGCGCGGCATCCTTCATGGTTTGAGGATTATTTTCACCTTTTTTGATTCGTGCATGTCAAACCAGCTCTTCAAGAACGACACGTACTCCTTAGGAGTAGCCAACGAGGAGGACGAAGGCTTTCCCACCGCCCCGCTATCCCACCCTCCTCCTCCTCCGGCTCCGGATGCTGGCGCTGTTGCTTCCGTAGTGCCTGTGCCCACCATGCCGCTCTCCGAGCACGACTCATGCATCTCTACAATCTTGTCCGCGAGGGCATCTCCCAAGAGGCCTGAGTGTGATATTGTTTGGAAACGCCGAAACACGCGCCACGTTTCTTCGACTACGTAGGTTTGGCTCGAACATGGATGGTGTGCTTCCAGCGAAATTCAGCGCCCCATGCGAAACGACGTGCTGTGACAACGGGTGGCCCGTTATTGGACAACCAAGACGCGTGCCCGAAGTACCAGTCGCGTTTTTAGCTGCGACGTGATGAACAATAGAGATATGGTATCTAGCCTTGTAAGGACGACGTGAGGTTCTATGTGGTCAACCCGGTAGTGTGAACCGTCCCTGATATCACCCTGAGTTTCGGTAAGCAGCGTGATAGATTGGTAAAGAAAATTGTGATAAAGCCGTTTCAGATCCCGCCTTTCCTGCTATCGGCAATAGGACGCGTATCCCAACCGATGCTGTTTTTGATGTACGCGCGATACATATCCCTGCAGAGCTATGGGGTTATTCCTCGACGCAATGGGTTTGGCAGATACCTGGTGGGCTATGCGCTGCTCTTCTCGCGCTGTCGATACGCCTCCTACTGTTCCCGGCGCTCTTGCTCTCTCCTGCGGTCTTGCTCTCTCCTCGGGCAGCGCTCTTCCGTTCCCCTCCTTTAGACTCCGCCGCGTCCTCATCATAGTGATTCCTGTTTAACATTAGATTCCGCGACTATATATATTTTTTTTTGCTGAAACTCTTCCCTTCTTTGCGAATCCTCTGCGGGCTACTCCCAACAGTACTTATTTCAAGTTCCTCTGATTATTAAAAGTATACTGGTCTTCGTCACCTTCCATCATATGTGAATCACGTGGTACCTTTGCTTCGCCTCTTCCCGACCATCGAAGTCGTCCAAGCTGTTCTGGTCGGTGTCCTTGCTCTCCAATAGATCGCTCACCCCCTCGATCATTCTGGCGAAAGAAAGGGGATTCCACAAGAAGTTGTGGTACAGGTGATTCCAAAGCTGACAGGTTATGTGCGACATCTTCTACCCGAAATCCGGCAACTACCTAGTGTGGCATGCTTGTTTCCCACGTGCTGTAGCGCTTGACTTGCCCTTGGGACAGCCTATTGATTCTAGCTCTTCATGGCGATCATTTACCGTGCTCTACTGAGTGCGTGTCAGCAGGGCTTGCGTGGTCCCATGTGCTAGAGGACGGCAACAACATCGAAACATCCTCCAGGGATACGATCCGGAGATCACCACACTCCTCGACGTTACAAGGTCCGATGGTTTCGTTTGTCACCTAGGGACGAGGCGCAAGCTCGTACGTCGCCATTGCCCAAACCATAAGCAGGTGCACCGATTGTACAGTGCCGGGTTCGACTCGCAACGGACCGCAAATCGCGGGTTGGTGGGGTCCTGTTCGGCCCGGCACAATAAAGAACGCAAGAGGTTGTGAGGGTGCGACATGCAACGACATCGCATGGAACGGGGTTACGCACACCGTTAGAAATAACGTGCAACGCTGATGCCGCATGAATATGATGCTTGGAATACAACCGCTTGACCTGACCGCTCACCATGCTCATGGCCACGTGCAAATTTTTCTGCACCCGGCTGACGAAAAAGTCGTAGGTCGTCTTGTGGTTCCCGTCCTCTCTCATTTGCTCTTTCAAAGGTGCCAACAGGGGCTCCAGCTCCTCCTGGCTGTACAGCCCCGGCACCTCCCCTGTTGGAAATGTGATCAATCAAGTCCCTACCGTTGTGGCTTAGCGGTTGTGGTGATGATTTCGATCGATGCACCTAACATCACGCAAGGCTCACTCAGCCACTCATCCTGGACACGCACGCTATCGAAGAAGGAAGATATGGTCCTAACTACCGGTCTGGGTTTGGGGCACGCCTCATGTCTCATGAGCAACGTGTCGTTTTCGTATATCGGGGTGCTGTTCTCAACATCTGCCTGGAACTGGTATTCGGAAACCTCCGCAGAACGGGCTTGTTCCGCAAGACTGGGGGGGGTAGGTTGTGCCGGGAAAATGATCTGCTAGGCGCCTCGCTCCCCTCACCCGCGCTGAGAAGAGAGTTTATCGTCTCCAGAATGTCGTCCGAGGTGACGTGATGGTCTTCGATCAAGAGCACAGATGGCTGGCCCTCCACCCCGGATGCCTGCATCGCGGACTTGAGGACTGTTTCGAGCTGGCCCAAGCCAAATCCCCTCGTTACCGCCGGGGTGAACAAGCCGCACCCCTGCATGTACGCGGCTAGAACCTGGGCGCATCGTGGTAGACATTCGTATAAAAATTGAGCGTTCCGTTGTTGTCTAGGCAACTGTTCTGCGAGACACGTTTTTTTCCATCAGGTTGAGCATCTGTCTCCTGCCTTGGACGAAAATGCCGCGTCGGTTTCCGCTCCAGGTGGATGACATATTTGGTGGCTGGAGCAATTCGCGGCATCTTCACGCGCACGACGTGTGCTACGAAGAACAAACGACGATTGCTGGCACAAGCAATATGATGTCTTCGAGATTGGTAGTTAGACTCAGGAGCGCCCGTCAGCTAGTAAAGAAGCCTTCAATCACCACTACGTTTTTCGTCAGTGCATGAGTAGTAAGCCGACTTGACAGCCCTGAACATTTGATTGTCTCAGCCACAAGCACGTCGCTAAAACTGACAACCACCCCTTTTGCTCGGCCTCGTCCTACCGAGCCTGCCGAGCCTGCCTGGTCTTAGTCCGTGGTCAAACACGCCGGCCGTACTGAGTAGGAGTCCGTGGTCACACACGCCGGCCGTACTGAGTAGGACCGGCACATATGTCAAGCCACAAAACACGAACCGTCATTAGAAAACTTCGATGTTGAGGCCCCTACGTCCACACCCGACAGCTTGCACCGCAACAAGTTTGTCGTACCGTGGCCTCCCGTCTTCCCACCCCGCTGCGACCGACTAGAAGAAGGTGCTCGCCCTGACCGCTCAGAACCCGATCCACACGCGCAATCTGTAGGAAGCAAGGGATCCACGAAGTATACTTCAGGAGAGCGCTCCACAGGGGGGCGGGCGTGTTCGTGATGAGTTCAGGAATCCAGGGAGGTAATTTTCTCTGTAAGCTGCGTCGGGTATTCGCGCTCCCGATCCGTTGACGTTAACCGTCGGCCAACAACAAGCAACGTATCCAGTCAATGTGGCTTGAGAGTCTGAGTCTGTCCTCCACGCAAGCAGCCTCTGTCCGAGCACGAAAAGCACCGGCCGTCGAAACGATGCTAGTGTACTATCTTAGAGGCATCAAGACCAAAGTAGAAATGCAGCCGATTGGTCGGCATCGTTGTCATCGAACCCACCCACGCCATCGATCACACCACCGACACGCCAACTTACACCCAACTACTGTGCATACACGTGCCCGGTTTGGTTAATCACCTGGTCGAGAACCTCCGGGAAAAGGAGCATGTGCAGGTCCCTCTCCTCTCTTTCGAAATACACGAGGCCTTGCTTGACAGCATCCTTGAGCCGCTCCTGGTCCAACCGCTTCAGAACCTGCTCGGCCGCACACCCCTTGCCAGGCAGTCGTGACACAACGGAGAAAGACCGGAGCATGTCGTTATTGCACTTACTGCGAAACAGGTCTACCACCGCACCGTAGCAACTCCGGCGTGGTGGTTTCATGAAGTGGAATGGTGTGAGTACCTCTCTGGCAATTCGCTACAACGCCTAGTCTGTCGCCAACGGCGGCATTTGGTGAACAACCCGCACGTAGTAGGAGCGATTCACAGCCTTCTGGTAGTCACCAAACGCGATAACAGTAACAACAGTGACCAATCACGGCAACAACAACTTGAGTGGCAAAGGCTGTCATTCGTTTCTGTCGCTAGTGCTACCTCGGGGTCCTGCCCTTCCGAAGTGGCTCCGGCGTGTCGCACTCCTTCCCCGAGAGTTGTGAAGTAAATCTGATCCAACAAGAGGAAAAACAAACGCGACAACCGACCACCGAGCCAAACTTTTCGTACAGATTGGTTTAATGTCAACAGGACCAATCGAGACGGCAGCGCAACACACGCTGTCACTATCGTTTTCCAGAGTACCGCCGACACCTAAACATCGGAGCCCAAAGCGGAATAGACATCTCTTAGACGGCAAGCTAGCCTAAACGTGTTCTTAGAAGGCCGCAGGTTGCCGAACGTTGCCGAAGGCACGTTCACCGGTGGACACGTCCGATCATCTCCGTTCGCACCCTCTCGGCGGGCAACGACCGCCGCTGTGCCTTAGGCTTATGTTTGCGAAAACTGTTCGGGGGTAGTAGTTGGAACCGATGACTAGCGCCACAAACGCATGCGTTGTCCCGACACCCACCCCGGTGAGGTCGGCGGTGTGCCCCCACACAGATCGGAGCTGAGCGTTGAGCATTCCGTCGAATCTCGTCCTTGAATCGGAGTCGGCAAGCCGATCGCGAAAGAGCCGTTGAGCCTGGGTTGGATGCAATCATAAAGCATGCACGACGATTGAGTTAATCGCGCACAATCGCCTAATCGGCGCGTACCTGGCAAGACACTGGTTCAGCGAGAGCGTCTACCGGCACCGTTACCACGACGCGAGAGGTCCACATCAATGACGGTTGGTCTAAGACGGCGGAGGCAAACGTCAGCGTTCAAGCAGTGTATGAGCACCCTGTGGTACCGCCGAAACGGCGCAATGACTGGAGTGCTATTGAATGATCGGACGAGTGACGGAAACGTCTTCGTTCCTCCCCGTTTATGCGGACAACCGTTAGCATCAGACAGGCAGTCACGAACGAGCATGGCACTGTGAAAAAACCAAGCGTGACGGAGCGGTTGCATGGAGTAGCCGTGGGGATGGTGCCGATTCACTGACAAATTGCAGTACACGAGCATGAACCATCTGTCTTGGGCAACGATGGAGAGAGGGTATTGGGAGGCACAGAAGGACGTACCGTCCAGCGAATGGAAAATTGAATGCTGTGTGCGCCCTCTAAATTCGCTATTCCGATAGGGCGAGGGTATGCACACATTTCCTCACCTCATACGCCACGCAGTCCAACACTTGTTCGCTGTTCAGCTCGTAACGTAGCAACCCCCGCACCCATGCAGTTAGGTCACGTGGGGTCAGAAGGTAGTGCCGATGCTCGTCCACCGAAAACCTTCCCTTGACCTTAAGGGGTGAAATGCGAAAACGGCAGTAGCAAACGTTGGGCTAGCTGGTCCTCTGACAAGCTCCATGACTTCGAGGCTTCAGGTGAAAAAAACTTCATGAAGTGCCCCGACCCTAGAGAATACTGGCCATCCCCCCCAAGAGTTGGACCATTTGCCCTGGGATGCGCGCTACTATGTCTGAGTCCGTGATTGTTCCGGTTGAACAGCATACTTTTTTTTCGAGCTTAGGGATCTAAATCCAGAACTCAACGGACCCTTCGTACCATGAACCGTTCCTTACTCGGCAATATATACCGCTCGCATGCTTTTGGAACACACTTTCCGGTATGCTCACCTGATCGTATAGATCCACCATCATCTTGGAGAGCTTGTCCCTCTCGGATGGCCTGCTCCATCTTAAAATCGAATACAATGGACCATAAACGTCATTCACAACAGAGGGCGGGTGACCCTCGTCATTCCGCAGCTGAGCACAAGAAGTGCGAACATCATCGGCTACTCTACGTGAATCGGACCAAAAGTGATTCACACGGCCGTGCTGCGTGAAACGCTGCTCACGTAGTCACACGTGCTAGAGTGGAAGACGGGTCGCATACAACGGCACTGAGGAAGACGGGCCATGGCGCAAGCCGCCGCCGCCCGCAGAAAGGAAAAAACGACGTAAAGCTGTCTACCCCGGTCGGGCTGGGCCATTTTCGTCTTCACCTAGTCCTTACCTCCCATCTGTAGATCCTGCACCCAGTGCCTTCCCCAAGAACGCAGAATAAACGGAGCACAGCTCGCTCCCATCGGGATAGTCAAGCACGCCGATCCTTACCGTGGCCGTGAACCGCGATGACAGTGGGTGCCGCCCCACCGTTGTAGCAGCGTTCATCGAGGCGACCAGCTGGGTGGGGTAGTGGGGCGGAAGGTCGACAGACCACCAACCAACCGGGCGTCATCCAAGTTTTGAATTGACAAACAGCAGTGTGCGGCGTGTGTCAAGCTCGTGGTTCTGTGGAAAATGAGGGAATTGTCCTCGACATGTGTTCGGGAGACGGGATCTTTCAAGACTGTGAACCACCCCCTTTTCTACGGGCCGTTTTCTTGCTAGGCAGCAAAAAGCAGCATAGTACCCTCGATACCAGTATCGACATCACCGGCTTCCCCTGCAACTGTGAAAATTTGGCACCATGCCTCGCGTGTTTCTCTCGGCGAGTGTTGCGACTCACATGAACCCTCTCAAGCCGCAGGAACTCGAGGTTTTCGTCATAGAAGCCGCCGGACGTCTGAACCTGCTGCAGGAATGCGATGAGCATGCACGTGTCGTACTTGTCGGGCCTTGGAAGGTTGATGTCCTTGAGGTACAGCACCAGGCGTTCGCAGTCCCTTGGTCTGTAGACCCTTCCGTCAGGGGCGCTGAAAAGGCTGCACGTTTGGGCCACCTGCGGTTTGGCGTTTCATGGTTTGGGTGATGAAAAGATGTGCATTGATGCTAGGGTTGCCTTGATGATAAGATGAAAGTACGGACAAAACAACCGAGAGGAAGCCGAGCAATCGGTGAACAGCAGGTCTATTAGGAGCACAGCAACGAGCGGGAGGGCTTTGGCCATCCGGTATGAGTAAATGGGTTGGTGACTCAGGGAGGTTCGTAAGACAGTCGCAGAGGAGGTACATATCTCGCCAGCCAACCGTCGTTGACAAAGATATGTGCTTCAGACGTGGCCCACCTCTGGAATGGACCAAAACCGGCGCAGATGACTTGTACCTTTGTGATGACGTGTTCCGCCGTAGTTCTGGCGTTGCAGTGGAGCACGGCGATGCTCGTCTTTATGCGCTTGCTACCCGCTCCTCCTGCTCGTGGTCGCCCACCCCCACGCGACACGCCCTCAGACGAAAACGCGTATCGAGTGATCATGTCCTTTCCGCAACCCTCGGGGCCCACCAGTATGAACGGCTCGCTGTTCTCGATCCACGGCTCCATCATGCTCAAAGCACGCTGTGCGCGCACACAAAGAAGGAGCGACCAATGTGCCGGATAGGTTGATGGAAGACGAGGGCATGGGATATGGAGTGTACAGAGGTGGTTCGTTGCAAGGGAGTTGACGGATGTGGGATCTGTGGCAGCTCTATGGTGATCGGTCAGGCGTTCCTATGTGCCGTAGTGTGGTCACAGAAAAAAAGGCGGTCCCAGACCTGCTACCTTCCTCCAAAGCACCCCGAGCGCTTTCACGAGACAACCGCGCTTCCCGCAAGCTGCATACCCCGCCTGGTTCTGACATCGCACGACCCCGGAAGCGCTTCACCTGGACCGATACCGTCGGCACGACCGACTGAGGACCGATTGTGGCGCCGCCGTCGTCAGAAAAGGCACCCAGCCCCCCGTTGGAGGGTACCGTAGGGTACGATGTGAGTGCTCCGCGGTCGCTGTAGCAGTCTAGAGGGCACGAGATGTCCGGCGGCCGTTCGCCTGCCCATTGGAAAACCTACGTACGTCGCGGTAAGTACGGGACAACGATTTCAACGTCAGAGGAATGCTGAAAACGAATCTCCGCGTTTCACCTGCACCTTAACACCGGCGCTTTGTACTATCCGCAGGTAAGCCGTTCTGCAGCGTCCTTCTCGCCTGCGCGTTCGCATGAGATGCCTGTCGAGGTATGAAACTAATTCACCCCGTTTTGTGCTGATCTCTTCACGAAGGGATCTTGGTTTTTCGGAACACACACTTAGAGAAAAAGATTGGCTCGCTCATCACCTCTTTCGCGAAGGAGTTTCGGTCGGCTAGGCTGAGGTTTCCTCCGAGTCCTCGAATCACCCCGCATGCGAAGTCCGCCTTCGAGGTCGAACCCGCCACCTGATGCAGGAACGACAGGAAAGCGCACAGGAGGAAGGGACGAAAACGTCCGTTGGTCCATCCGCGTTTCATCGGCCGTTGTAGCGTGTGACTGCTCATTGTAAAGGCACCCGAGTGTTTTTTTCTTTGTTACAGTGAAGGCCACTTTTGGTGATGGCGAAGGGCACGGACAAACATGTTAACGCTGACGTCAGGCATGTCACACTGGCAAAGGCATCACGGGTGCCTTGACATACGCAACTTGGTCGTTATCGAACGGAAAATCCCCGCGGGAGGGGTCCTCGCGACAGAAACTGCGACACGTATCGTATCGTGAGATTCCTTAGATACTTGAATTGCGAAAAAGTGCCGCTTACCTGAGCAAGGCCGTTGAGGACAGTGCCCACCAATGTGGTGTCTACAACCATTTCCCGATCCAGCACATAGTTCAAACCCCTGCGATGCACCACGAAGGGAAAGTATTCCAAACAAGCTTCGAACCGTGGCCTTGGCGTGAATTGGGAGCGGTGATAGCTGCCAGGCACGCACAAGGCTGGCATTTTCGCATCCTGTCCTACACATGGACACATCGATTGATGCCAACCATGTCCACACGCAACTCTTGAGTTTATCTAGATGCGACGAGATGACAAGGTTCGTATCAGCAGGCCAACTCATCCAATACCGAGGACAACGAAAACCCGACTTTTGTTTTCCGGCCGAGAAGAGCATGTGAGACAACGGAGAAAAAAGCATCATCAAATCATGATAATCGATTTCCGTATGTACCACGTCAAAAATGGAAAAGAGTGGAGTTTGCACACCCCAGGCGAGCAGTCACCTGTAAAACATGTCGTCCACCCAGCCCGCCAAGCCCCCTCGGAGGTCCTCGGGTTGTGTCTTGATCCACCTCGCCAGGAGACGTTTTACGTCTACGTCCTCGTCGGAGAGGAATATCATGCCTGAATAAAGAGTAGGAACGAAGCGAGAGGTCGCGCCGGGTTGTTGCTCTTTGAATGTGCGCATTGTGCCATCAAGCGAGCACTCATTCGTCCCTCTCCAAGTTGGTCGACTGTGCCGGGAGAGGGAACCCCGAGGAACTCGTGGAATTTTCTAATACAATGACACATGTAGCCAATCAAGAATATCCAGGCCCGTACCAGACATCGTTGAACCCTGACAAGATACCGACGGCATCTTTCGGCAATGGGTCCATCTCTGAGGCCGTTACCCGATCAAAAAGGAACAATGAGCGCTCAACTGTCTCACCCATTCTGCTGACTGTGGCAGGCGAAGCGAACTTGAGATCGTGGGTCTCAAAGACGAAGTTGACGTTGTTTCCGAAGTTGATCCGCTCGCCATTGGGCAGCGTGAGGAGGTGGTTGTCATCCAGCACCGAATTCAGGGACTCGATCCACTCGGGGTCCACGTCACCGTCGCAAATCAGCCACGACTTCACCTGGTATTTTCATGGTAAAGCGATTCAATGTTAGAGAGAGATCTTGGCCCAGTGTCGCGAGATGTGCCAACGTGGAGAGAGGGTATGACTATCGGACGAGCAGGAGGTTGCAAGCTCTCCTTGAAAAGGGATGTGTCACGTACTTAGGATGGGGCATTGGCCATGGCTGGAATTGTCGATGCTCCCGTGCGTCCACAACGACGTTGGCAGTCAACCATTGTGCTTCTCCGAGGCACCTGACGTACGAAGTAGTTGACCACCGATACCGCTGGGTTCCAGCTTGGAGGGTCCGAATCGAAATATCGATTGGGACTATAATAGTCCTTCTGAATATTCGTCATGTTATTTTACAGGCAACTAACATACCCTTGAGAACTGGGGCAACCATGGGCAATCAACTGGCGCGGTCGTTTTGTCGGTGTCTTGCATATCACGTTGCTCACCTCTGGCGTCTCTTTGACGACCTTCCGGGCGGCAGCGGTGAGCACCCCGTCAAACCACTCGCGCGTATCCAAGTCCATGTGCCCAAGCAGCCTCTGGCAGGCGCGGAAGTATGAGCGTACGAGATGATTGTTGAGGTCGGTATTTTCACGCGTAGCTTAACAATACCGACTTCGATAATGCCCTGTATTCCTGAGGTGCTTCCGTAAGGTGAACTTTAATCAAGATCAGCAGCACCGTAAAAAATACCTGAAGGCACGCGCCTATTACAACAGACCAATCTTCCTTTTTGGTTTTAGGGAAAGTTCTGCTGATGGGGCAAGGTGTACGGCTAGAAAGGAATCTTGCGAGCGCACAGAGGGGTGGTTTCGACGCAAGTATTTGTGTCGCCAGTCAACTCCTGCCTCACTCTGGGCTAATTTTTCTCATCACTCCGTGTGCCCATTCCCACGAAAGTCATCAAGCAAGGCACGAGCCTCCCCGAGGATCAGTTTGGGCCACTCCAGGGCAACTGTCACGGTTTCATTCTGGCCCGTTGCACTTTCTGGAATCGACTTTGAACCATGGGATATCCTCTGTTGTTACCGCGACAGCATTCACGGTCGATTCGCTCACACGTTAGGCCTCTTGGTATTCAAAAGGATGCCCATGTGAGCGCGGAGTCACTCGAATAGATAATACCAGGTATCGTTGGACAAAATCATGTCATGTGCCCAAGGTTAGGTTTGCTTGAGGCAACTAACACGCCCGGTACCACGAGATGATCTGACCTGGCGAGGCATGCTCTTGGGGTTGACCACATGAGTGTTAACCGCTTGCCCGCACTTGATCATGGCGTGCCGCAGGATTGACCACAGGGTGGATTTCCCGCAGCCGCTAGGACCGACGATGACGCAACCCATCCTCTGGTCTAAGGCCTCCTTCAGCTGCAGCATCTTGCGCACCTGGAGAAGAAGTGGTCATAGAAGCGGTGTCTGCAATAATATGGGTCATGGTAAGGATCTAGACTTAGTACTTGACGGTGGTACGGGTTGGTTAAAGCCGATACAACGATCGCCGTCAAACGTTGTGACCCACTCAACGCAACACACCACCGCCAATTCCACGGTTCTTCTACTGTAGCTCCTGTAAACAGGGCACCAACGTTTCAGATACGAATTTTGGAAGTCTGTCATTTGATCTGTGCCTCAAAAGCAGCAGCCTCCGGTACTACTCAACGTACGTTGGAATCATGGCGTACACACCATATTCGTTGCCTCGTTGGAACATAAAGACGGAAACGCCGGGGTTAGCAAATTCACCTACAACCTTCTCGATGAACAACACTTGCCTGCGCATCGTTGACCTCCAGGAAAAACGGCTTCGCCGTCATCACCTCGCGGATTGCTTCCTCCAGCTCACCCTTAGGCACGGTTGAGCATTTCACGGTAAACATGGTTTCGGTGGAATATCGACAGGCGACACAACAAGCGGTTGAGCACTTCACAAAGACAGCAACATCCCAGTTTTTTTCTCGTCCCACCCAAGTCTTACCAAGCAAGCAAGAATCCAGAAGTCGATTGTTGTACTTGTACGTGAGCTGAACTTGAAGCCGAATGGTTCGGAGTGTACGAGTAAGACATGGTGAAACAAGATACCCCCCGCTGGTTAATCCTGCGTCCTCGCTTACCCCGGGGATGTCACTGCTTTCCGCTCCCGGGAACACGTCCCCGATGAGAGCGAGAAACTGCCGAGTATCGCCATAAGTGAGCTTGGACAGGGTGTTGACCCGTACCGCCTTGATCAGTAGCTCACGCTCGCCGGCAGCGTCGATAGAAGTGCCTTCTCGTTTCGCCGCCTTTGGTGTGGATGCATCGAAATGCAAAAAAAAAAGAAGAAAGGGAGCAGCGGCCGGCAGAAGCGGAGTTTGGGCATAGAGTTTGCGGCGAGAAAGGACACGGACGTCTGCAGAGGCACATGCGCGGCTAGATAGGGGTAGAACTCAACATCCACAGTAAGGATAATCATGGGGAGAGGTTCAACCATACCTGAATGAGCTTGCCGCCAGTGTTGAGCACCGCTTTCAAAGCCCGAAGTCCCCAGTCGTAGTGCTGCTGCCTGGACAATAGCTGCTTCGACAGCGTGAATATAGACACAATCTTCGACGCCAAGTCCTTTGCGCCAGTAAACCCTTCGGAGCTCAGTATCACCTGGGGTTTCAGGTGGACAACGGTTGAAAACGAAACTAAGAAGGGGGGGATCAAGAACTGACGTGGTATCATGTAAGTAAAACAGAATGGCGCAATGGGTTTACATTTTGCGCATCCAGCTCTCGACGGATGGGTCGGGGATTAAACGAGTGAGATCGCATGTTGCCTGCGTAGGTCGGGAGTCTAGTTGGCTGTAGAAATTGATCCAAAACGAGATGAAAAAGGAGGTGTGTGGACCCTTCCTATTTCCACGGTTTTGAAGCAGGACCTTGAGGGGCCCTTGAACTCTGCTTAACACACGTGATTTCCACGTACTGATTGCGGCAAGACGCTCGACATCTTTGAAACACAGCTACCGCTCTCTCTCTGACACAAGTGACGCTTGTACAGCCCCAAACGAGCTAGGGGATTCGCAATCCTTGCCTAGACTCGAGAGATTCTCCTACCAAACCGCTGTAGTACTTCAAGCAACCCACCTCGGCAATGAGCTCATTGTCGGGACGTCCCATAGCAACGGGTCGGAAGAGCGCCTTGAGGTTGTCGGGGAGCTTGCTGCGACCTCCATACTTCTTCCCTGCCGGGTTCAGGGTCACGAAGATTCCGGTGTTCAAGTCCACATCGATTTCCCGACCGAGAAGCCTGGAATGGGAAAGGTCGAGGGAGGAGAATATGACAAGAGGTACGTGGAGCCGACATCCCTTGATCCCAAACAACGCGTTGAAGAAGAGGCTCCACGCTGCAGGTACGTTGTACCGCGATCGTTAACGCTTGCCTGAGGAATGGTCGTTTCGCCTTGATGGCGTCCTGGATGATCTGAATTTGTTGCGATATGGCCGACAGCTGATCTTCCTTCAGGCGGTTGAACTCATCGAAACAGCCCCAGGCACCGCACTGGACGATGAAGGGTGCAAAGAATTCAAAGCGGCGAGGGTTGGAAAATCACGCCATGGCGAGAGCGCTAGTAGAAGGAGGGTAGGGCATGCTGATGAAGAGACTGTGCTATCTGGGCGTGATCGTATCAACGCTTGCTGAGGGCTTTGGGAACGACAAAATATCCTTGATCCGAGGTCGTTCCACCTGCTGTTAGTCAGGTTTTCGGGACAAGCAAAATCCGTTGCTTTCGATCCTTTGACCTGAGTTGAAACCGACAGTTAGCGTATAACATCTGGTTTGGCAGTTGGAAGACAAGAATCGCGTGCGACCGATTGCAAGAGGGACAGTAAATATGGAGAAGGTAGTAGCGCCAAATAATACGATGTCCGGCGCAACAAGAGAGCACGAGAGATAGACTGTTATTCGATTGTCTTCAGTATTATCGATGCGTGAAATAAATGACGACAGACATTTCTCCCTCTCTTCCAATCCTTTCCAAGATGGTGCCGAATTTGGCGAATAAAAGTCGTCTTCAACATCCACTCCCACAACTTCATCGGCTTCATCACCTTCTTGGTATCGTTCGTCTTGTTCTTCATTGAGATTTCATCGTGTGCATCTTCTTACTCATTTTGACATCACAATGAACAAGAAGGTGGGAACAAGATTAACAATTCCAAGGAGGTGCAGTGCAGAAGAAGACTAGAACACGTGAGTAGTCAAGAGCAAAGGCGACTTCACTCCCCGGACGCAGCGGTGTCTTGGAAAGGATCGGAAGATTGCTCTTCGTGGCATTGTTCATCTTGTTCGTCTCCTCCCTCATTGTGACTTAACCGTGTGCATCATCTTACTCATGTGAGATCACAATGAACAAGAAGGCGGGAACGAGGTTAACAATTCCAAGGAGATGAAGGTTCAATCTCACGCACCAATTTTCAATTGGCAGCAGGTTGTTTTACGGATGCCATGCTTGCTTGTTGTTCCAAATAACGTACCCTTTGGCGTTGCACCTTCCATATTTCTCTTCCACGCTGTCGCACGCGAATCGTTTTTTATGCGTTAGGCAGTAACCCACAACGGCTTGTCTTATGCTGAATCAGGGCGTACCTTGACCAGGCCAATGAAGATCTTGCCCATGCTCTGAAAGTCGATTCCCTCGTCGCAGTTGAACACAAGCACCTGCAGGTCCGGTGAATTGTTTTGGGGCACGGGGGAAGCGGCGAAATAAGAATGCACGCCCCCCAACCGAATGCCGAAACTGTATGACGAGTGAGGAATCACCATTAAAATAGACGTGCTCACCGGTCTCTGTTGAGTGGCCAAAGCGAGAACTTCCAAAACTAGCACTAGTCTAGAGACCTGCGGAACAGCCTCGTCCACAAGCCTTGCTTAACGATGAGGTCGTTTTTACAAGGAAAGCTGAGAACGCCATGGAGACTAGCTTTCGCAGGTACCGCAGGCTTTCACACCATGTAGAGGGCACTAAAGGCCAACACTCCAGAACATTTCCACGCTTTTCACGAGCACCTCGCACGGCCAAAAAGCGACTGGCCCTTTGCTATGCCACCATGACGAAAAATGTTGGGGTGGAAATTTCAGCAGCAACAACGCACGCGTACGGGCGCCTCACTTGGCGGCCGAACGCTTGCCCCAGCGCCTTGACAGATTCTGTCTTCCCTGTGCCCGCAGGACCGTAAGGGTTTCCTCCAAAGCCCATGTGCATGCCCTGCACGGGGACGGAAATAGCGAAAAGATGTTGTTGCAACGGAATCCTGAGAACGTTTATACCCCGCGTAGGGGGGGGGAGAACGCTTTGGCCGGTGCATGTTTTGGCGCCATGGCGATGGTGTGGGGTACGGCCTGCGACAGCACTCGTGCAGAATTCAACGCTCAACTGTGCTTTGGTAGGCAGAATGTGTCTGGACTTTTTGCGAATGGTGAAACACCTAGGGAAGTCAATGGGACAAATTGTGTTCACCCTTACGGATTGGCACGCTTGGGGACACTCGGTGAAGATATGCACGGTTTGTTCGACATGTGAAGGCAAACACGCACGATTTCCATCCAACGGCATCGGCGATGACGAAGACAGAACCGGTATCGAATCACCTGTGTCAGCGTCAGATAGCACTTGTCGGTCAAGGGAGTGTGCACGAGCTTTGGGGCGTTTCCCTGGTATTCGTAGGAGTAGCCAAAACTCGCGCTGCTCATCTTGATGATCGCGTTCCCGCCCTTGACATAGTATCGAAGTTGCTTCTGCCATATCCAGTCGTCCACCGACCCGGCGCCGTTCCTGGTGAATCATATCGCAGAGCGTTAACATGTGACAGAACGCAGTCGCATCGTGGCAGAGGATTGGCATGTTTGGCAAGTAACGATAAGGTCAAGGTCCGTCAAATTGAGTCGTGAAACTACGAAGCTCAAGTGTTCTACACGTCGACAACAGTACAAGCAATTTCCACTTTCAACATTGAACTTGTCTAGCGGATGAGCAGTGGGGCAATCGTCTTCGCGCCTTCGATGGGCGTTCCACCTAGCAGCAGCGGGTGCTACAGCCCTCCCACCACCACTGCCATTACCAGCACGATACCCTCAAATCTAAAGAAAAAAAACAGACAAGACCCAAGGCTTGTGTCGCACACCAAGCTCACTTCTGAAGCTGATCTACGACGTCCATGCTATGCACCAGGTCCAGGACGAGGGCCTTGATCTTAAGCTGCATGAGGGGCCGTGACGACAGGTCGTAGGCGGTGTACTGCTCCAGCAGCTGCCGAAGAGGGTGCATGAGCCCGCTCACATCACCCTGCAGAACATCAAGAATATGTCGGGAGAAATCGTTATATAGTGCAAGGATACCTGGTATTGGCAATGGTGGTGAAGACTGCCGATGCGGGTGTTGAAGACCCTATTTCGTTCTTGGGTTGTGGTTCGTGTTTGTGCCAGATTACGTTCATCAGTTCCCGCTTGTTCCCCTATTCTAGACAGCTCAGGTACGGGACTTGCAAGTGGAAATTGTGACGCTGCTCGACCACGGACTTGCATTGTTGTGTCATGAAACACTGTATAACCCCGAAGGACATGTTTGAGGCCATAAGAAAAATTCGTCTGTTGTGCTTCAAGGCGGCGGACATTAACCGCGATCGAAGTACCGCCCTTCGACTATCAGATTGATTTTTTTGTCAGCCCCACCCCGGGTGCTCCACGGCATGACGAAATTTAACTTTGAAATATAACCGCTTTCTATCAATCAAGAACTATTTCACATTTCAACTACCACGGGGGATAACATGCGGATTCTTTTCGCTCACCTGAGAAACGGCTACCTCCGCGTGGTCGCAGAACTTGATTTGTTCGGCGAGGCACAGCAGCTGCAATATTCAAGACGGTATCGTCGACGAAAAAGGGGAACGCACCCGCGCGAGCAGCATGTTAATTTGGAACTAGGTCACGCAAGAATGTTTGAGCGTGGGACCGAGCACCACGTTGGAGGGGTCGAGAGCGCGATGGCTTTCGAATGGTAGTCGCCATCTTGCGACCCCCTGGAAGAACGGAAGATTCGTCGTGCCGGCGCACCCTCTGCTCACATCGACCATGCCGTCATCTGTGGCGGGATCTCGACGCAAACCTGACAACACGTGGTCCAAAACGCGCCCGGCACTCATCCTTTCTTATCCGTCTTCCAGGCACCGTCGTCAGACTCTACAGTAGTCGCTAACAACCGCGGAATCCCCCAGTTTCGAGTGACAGCACTTTCGCCGAGCATTTTCGACAATCTTTGATAAGCATTGCCGCAACAGGTGGCTATCGCCGTCCGTCGTATCACGCTCACGACTGTTGCACCTGGCTTGGGAACCGTTCGTAGTCGATCTGCCCACGCAGGCATTCCTGAAGAAGAGACGTCAGGGTCCCTTTCATCTCGACGTTGAGGTGTTCCAGCCACTCTTCGACTCTCTCCGACACCGGCACGGGGGTATTCAGCGACACCTGCGTCCACCCAAGCGTACGAGGTCGGGGCTGATACTCGAACGTTGGGATGGACTTCCCACACCAGTATTCTACGCAGTTAGACATGGCTGTAAAGATAACAGAGAAAACCTAACTGCAGTACATAATTCCCAAAAGGATTTCGATTTTAAGGCAGTTCCCGTGTCTGCGAGAAATCGAGCGGGGCGGGGATGACAGAGTAGGTCAGCCCCCTTCGGAGTGGTGCGACCAACATCGAAGGTTGGAAAGCTTCGACGGCAGGTTGCGGTCATCACAACGCATTTGCTTTGAACTTGCCTCGAGACACAACCGGTCTTGTTCAATAAACGTTATCAGATCATGAAACTCGTCCGCATAACTTCCACCGATGCAACACGCCTTCCGAGACAACCGACGACAGCATCCCGCACGCTCGGAGTTGTTTCTCTGACAACTAAAAGAGCGAGAGACTTGCCTTTTCCCCGGCGGAACTGAGCATTGCGACGATCTGCGTCTCTTCCTTGTTGAATTCCACGCCATGAATTCCCTGGAAAAGCTTCTTGAGGTGAGCCTGGATGATCGTCGGGTTCTTCGCCTAGACAAGACAGGGGGAAGGTGGTCCCGACCGCTTTGTGATCGGTATGGTCAGTGGACTTGCTTGACAAGGCAAAGTGCCACATTGGCCAACCGTTTTGTGGTTCGGTTCGATACCGTGAGTTTCTGATTTGACGCGGTCAAACAGTCGGTTGCAGCGAGCGGCTACTGCCCTCAAAGACCTCGTCATAACGGCGACCGTTGGTGGTGGCGCTTGAAATAATTGGGTGGAAATGGGAAAGGTGTGAAAAGAGAGCTTTCGCTTCCTCACCTGTCCTAGAATCTCTAGCAAGTCTTCGTCCCCGATAAAGTAAAACCTTGGCATGGCCGACCTCTTCTCCTCCAAGAAGTCGGACAAGGCTTTCTGGCACCTGTCTCGTCCGATAGTTATGATAACAGTTACGGCAATAACCGGCAGTGTTGTTGTTGTTGTTTCTCACATTAGCTCTATAGTTCACAAAAAATGGGTAGCCCGTGGTCTCAAAACCCGGCACATACGACGCCGCGCGAAAAAAAACAAAAGGTACAAATCACTCGGAAAAAAAAAACAAAATGATAGAAATAAAAGAACAGGTATCGCACCGACCGTTCGAGTAAAGAGCCCTTGGAAACCGATCAAAATAAGACAAAAACAAAAATTAAGCAGGACGCTTCCCACACCCGACCAAAGAAAAAATCAAAGGGTAACGTACCAGCACCAGGCACTACGCACCAGGGCATGGGAGTAACGGAGCAAATAGGACAAAAGAGGCGGCAGATGGGCAGACAGCCAGACGTACAAAAGCAAAAGCAACAGCAAAGCGAGATCAAGGTACCCAACGCAGCAGAGTAGGCAGGGAGGACATGAAAAAAAGAAACGCAGCACAGAGGCCGAAGGCAATACAAAGGACATACATAAAGGAGTATAGCATACAGCAGGGAGGGAAACAGGGCGCAACAACATCAGCCGGGTACATAGTTCGCCACAAGTGCTGCCTCGGCCGCCCTACTCGCTTCTACAGCAGTGCCCGGTCGCCGTTTCTTCCCCCCCACCGCCGCTTCCCCGGCTCCCTTTCTCTTCGGTCCTGAGGTGGCCGTACTCTCTGCTTCTGTTTCCCTCGCGCGCTGGCGCTTCGCGGACGCTTCCGCCTCCTGCCTGTGTCATTTCCTCATGAGCCATGCTGCCCCGTCCTCGACCTTGTTGTACCACACCTCCGGGCCCTTGGCGCTCACTTTCCATTTACCCCTTTCCTTTTCGTCGCCCATGTTGAAGGCCACGAGGTCCTCTCCTAGATGAGACACCCAGTCGCTCTCCTGCCCGCCCCAGTATCCCACGCCCTCCGCCATCGCTCCTAACAGCATGCGCTTGAGGAGGCGGCTGTCCTCCATGCGCATAACAAAGCCCGCGAAACACAGTCTCCGTTTGCGCACGGTGGCCTCGATGGTTTCCTCGCAGCCTGC